AAGGGAGGTGGTGGGGAGGGGTAGAGGGGAGAGGGGTAAGGAGTGGCATGCCCACATCTCACTCTCATTGGCCCGCCGGCCTCTTCTGTGCGAGGGAGAGTTTCACATTTTAAGACTATTTATAACTTTCCGTTAATGTTTCACTTTTTTATATTCATCGCTAGAACAAACTAATATTGAGAATTATTTAGTACAGTCGCACTAAATTGCAAGTGGATTTACCGAAAGAATTTGAGATAAATTGTACTGTTTTGCATCTATTTCACGTGATCAGGTTGCGTGACTTAAATGGTGATAAATATCATATTCGTGCGCATGAGAATAAAGGTAAAGACTTCCAATGTGGCGTCGCAGTATCGCCTTCAAATTTTATTTTATTTTTTTTCTTTTTGCTCTCACAAGCATGTCTTCAAGGGATTTTCCCTTTTTTGTAAGAGATGATCAGAGGTTTGTAGAAATTTATTTTTAAACGTAAACTTAAGACTCATCTTTTTAAAAATTACTTTAATGTATGATCTCTTTTCTTATCCATGTCAAACGCCTATATCTTAGACATCAGTTAACTTAAGACTTACTTTTAATATTATTTTAACGTGTGATATTTTAATATTTTTGTAAAGCGCTTAGAACAGGACTGGATAAGCGCTATATAAGTAGTTTTATTATTATTATCGATCTTGTAGAAATTGTTTTCAGCAAGGGCTGACTGTGTAGCAGACTTCAATGTTCCATCAATATTTGCTTTCGAATTTTAACTGCCGGATGGTACATTGTTACTAAACGCAATAAACGCTCCTGACCTTTTGGCTTTAGTGTATGTGTCAGAGCCCATTGTCTAGAGGCAAAGTTGACCCCTGACGGAGACCATGATGTTTTCCGTGTACCTTTTTGCTTTGAGGCGTTGTTTCTACCAAACCTCTGGTCATCTCTCACAAAAAAAGGGAAAATACCTGAAAGACATGCTTACGAGAGCAAAAATATAATTTGAAGGCGATACTGCGACGCGACCACAAAAGCTACATGGGGAGTCCGTGTCGGTCTGCCTTTACTTTTATTCTCAGGCAGCACTTTTTTAACCATTTAATCTTCACTCGCAGCTACTCGGTATGCGAATTTCAAAGCTAACAGGATCCACCTCGTTGCATCGAATTTGTAGTTTTGCACTTGGCATTTCTTAGCCATCGGTTGTTGTTACTAAATTGAATTAAGGCACACGAGATATCAAGAGTACTGCACACACTTCAGGTCTTACATAATCAAGAGCTTGACAACGAGATAAACGATCGATAACTCAACAAAAGAAAGATACTCGAAGGAATCCCTTAAAAAAACAGCAAATTCCAAAAATACCTGGAAGATGTTTTTGATTCCATAGATCGTAAACAATGTTTTTCTCAGTTTGCCTTTTCACGTTGACTTCCTCTCATCAATGGTCGAACCGCGACAAGAGTATCTTTGGTCACCGCGCCCTCCACGATGTATTACGTATCCTTTAGGCACGATTTGTCGTTTATGTATACTGAAATTGACCTTTGTACATAGTTCCTAATCCAATCTTGACCAGCTTATGACAAAAGAACCTTTCGAATCTGTGGTCGAACCGATAACATTACATGCATCCGAATCCTCTGAAATGCAAAATCGATGACAGCTTTTTGCACATAAATCATGATCTCATTTCGAACCCCGCTTACAAGCATTATCAGGGCATAACGTGACATAAGCGTGGCTGTCACGCTTTCCTTAACTTTTTTCACATCGGAGTAAAGGACTGAGGACGAGGATCAGTCTAAGCCGATGCACAAATGCGGTTTCCCCTAATAATAATAATAATAAAAAAATAATAATAATAATAATATTAATATAAATTAAACACCAAAGCCAGAGTACAAGAATGATCGAGCCAGCGCCTTTTGGGATGTGCCAGTGTATGCAGAGAAGACGGAAGTAAGAGCAAATCGGATCGATGCAGGAGTTGTGGATAAGCAGAAGAAGAAGGTGCTACTATTAGAGATGAGTTGCCCGTGGATGGCAAACAGGAAACAGAAGGAAGAAGAGAAAACCTCGAAGTACGCACCGCTCAGATGGGAGATCCGTCAGCAGTACCCACACTATAAGATTGCACAGTACAACATCATCATCGATGTGCTCGGGGGCGTATCAAGAAAGACACTAGATAGTATTAGAGAACTTGTAGGTGTCAGGGCAGATAAGATCTTACTGGATATGCAAAAAGCAGTCATCTCAAGTACCCTTAACATTGCACGGAGTTTCAAAGTTCTCACTGCGCAGGACCTATGAACTGGCCAAACTTTTACCCATAACTTTTTGGGTTTCTAATATCATTTGAGAATTTCTTTATTTTATGAATTATTTTAGGCTATGGTAATGACAAGCTACGCGATTGCGCCTTGTCAATATCTTATTTAAGGAGGCATCCTTACGTTTTATTGCCACAATAATAATAGTAATAATAATAATCTATGTCATTTATGATAAATGTCGCCTTACGCTTTCGTCCAATAATAAAAAATGAGCAGTAAATGTTAGAATTACCTTAAATATTCTCTCCGGTAAAAATATTTTTTCATTCGGTGGACACTTAACGAAAGTGATGAAGGTGGGGATTTTGAGAGTATGTTTTTTCTTGATAATTTACTTGTGCTTGTTTTCCTTTACTTTAACTTTTTCTATGCAATGCCTGTGTACGTTGCAAACCCGTTTAAGGGGGGAGAAATGAGTAGGAAAAAACGACACCATCAGAAAGTAGACCATGATTGTCATTAAAATGAGAACCAACCAATACTTGTGTCTAAAATGCGACTTACATCCATTGTGTCGATACATAATTGTTTTGGGGAAAATAATTTCTCATTACAACCGTATGATGCGCATGTGTTGTTCAAGGGATTATATAGTGATAGAGCAACCAAAACCACGGAGGGAAATTACATGATGCTTTGCAATTCAGCTAATCTTATGGCCCATGAAAATACAGTCTGATAATCTTGTCGCGGCCGGGTTGTTCAAAGCTGAGTCAAGATAACACAGCGGTCAAACTTAGGGCATGCGCAGGGAGGGGGTTCAATTATGGGCGTGCGCTTCAATTTTCGGTGCAAAATTTTTAAAAGAAACATTAAAAACAACCGCTGTCTTGCAAAAAAGCGAAATAAAAATTGAAACGCTCGTGGAAATCTTTAAAAGGAAACAAAACAAAAGAGTGGGAAAGGAAACTCGACACTTTCAAACACTAACCTTATTCAAGTATGGGTATCCTGCTGATTTATCGTTCTATTTGGAGCTTTACCAAAAAGGGAATAAGCCTCAAATATGTCAAAACACCGTGACTCACTGGCTTGAGGGTTGTTCGTACTTTTGTGACAACTTGGTTCTGACGGAAGGTCACCACCTGGTCTTTACAACGTTCGCACATGCGCAGACCTTTGACCTCTGTGTTGATTTAGACAACCTACGTCAGTGCGAAATCTGATTTCAGATGTGAAAGCTCCAAAAGAAAATTCAGTATACTTCTTTTTATCTACAAATTGATGATTAGGTGCTCTAAAAAGAACAGCGAAGATAATCTGAACAAAGGAATAACTGAGAAACCCGGATGAAAATCTTAACCCTGTGTTAAATAATAGAAAAATTTTAGTAGAAAATGATAGAAAAATTCATGCGGAAGAAGACGGTGCACAACTTGGTGATCAAATCAAACGTGTAACACCAGTTCTTAAGTTGCCTGTTGCGAGAGTACTCTGCTTCATGTTTAAGTTTAGTAACTGGTAGCCTGTGGCCAGGCCATCAAGACGCGAGTTTCTCCGCTCCCAGTAAGACTTGAGACGAATCGGGGAGAGGTTTGTCGGACCTCTCGTCGGCCCGCGTCGCTCAGAGCCTCATACTTTCCTGCAGGCTAAGAAACGCTCGTGCCGAAACGTAAGTAATGAGAGGCTCCTCGGAGGCTAAAGCTTAGCAAGGAGTCAATGATGACAAAGGGTTAATTCCAAGAAAGATTTCCCCGCCACATTTAAAAAGCACAAGAATTACAAATTGATGATTTGGACCAAATCAAATAAACATTTACTCAGTAAATCGCAATTTAACCGATAACAATCTTAATTTTAATTTGTCAACACATTCGTCTTTACGTGACTTGATAGCATTTCAAAGTCTAATCAAAGTTACATATCAGACGGGGAAAGCTCTGTTCTGTTCAGCTGTATCCTGAAAATTAAACGTTTCAGTCTCTATTTCTAAAGCAGGAGTTACTAACTGCTTTCTCAGCAAAACTACAGAAATTGATATATTGTTAAACGGCAAAGAATTAATCTGAGCAACAAACAGCGGTTTTCTGATAACGCTGCCTCGTTTTCAAGTAACAATACTTTTTTTCATCCATAATTTTTTTTGTCAGAGATCGAATCGGAAGTCACACATCCGTGGCAAGCTGGACGGAAAAGAATTTGATGTGCCTAACCGATAAAATTATTTTTTATTACTAAATTCAATTAGGTCAAAAATTGAGTTCATTTGCAGAAAAGACTATTCCCCCAAGGAAAATATCGCTTACCACCTGCTCCTGAATTATTCATTTGAATCTTAAACAAATATAATTGGAAAGTTTTGTGATATCTGTGCATATGTTCTGTTTGCAGGCGTTTAATATTTAATTTTCCAAAATCCGCCGTGAGGAAAAAAATATATACTTCATTTATTCCTGTTGTTTTCTTCCGAGAATTTCAGGTTATGAGGATAATTAGCTGACAAAATGTTTTTTTTTCCATGCAGATGACTGAGCATTTCAGCAGACTGCCGACTATTTCAATTATCTTATTAACCTTTCTTATTTATACAGTGCAGCCTCAATTGAATGGTACTTTACCATGCACAAGAATTTCGGGAATTTGTTATCGATTTTTAATGCATAACAACCTCTTTCATTCATGCAAGGCTAACTACACGCAACGATAAGGAAGAAAGAAGGAGACATTTTAAAACGAAGTAGCTTTGAAGACAAATTGAATGTGTCTGTTGTTGTTTTTCCGTGGTGATAGATCAGCAGATCAGTGATGAATAATGTGGTAGAAAGGTCGATTAAAGGTGGACAAACAGGCACGTTTCATCGCCTAAGCTTGAGAACCATGTAGTAACTGTTTCGGAAATGGCTGCTTTATCAGAAACTCATCGCAACAACTCAAGGATTAATTCCTCGAATTTGAATTCAATGGCTTTACCAACGACGCCGTCTTTCCGTTCCCCGTGCGATGACCCAAGACTTTTCGCGAGTTCTGCAGTTTCTGTGGTCGTTGCTTCATGCTACGCAATACTTATACCGGTAACCCTGTTAGGTAACGGCTCAGTGATTGCAGCCTTCGCTGCGAACGCCAGGCTACGAACTGCCACAAATATCTTGATCCTCGGCCTCGCGGCCAGCGATTTGCTAGTAGGAGCGTTTGCAGTTCCATTCTGGACGTTCATTGTTTCGCACGCAGATATAACGGCGGGTCACTGTTACTCAACGTATTTGATTTACATAAGCTTTGACATTTTCGCAGGATGTGCGTCAATCCTGCAGCTCACTGCTATCGCTTTGGAACGTTTCCTCTCGACGCAATGGCCGCTGTTTCATCGCAAGTTGCCGCAATATGTCTATTGCATCATGTTGCTGGTTTCATGGCTCTGCGCTTTAACGATGGCAGCTCTACAACCGTTGCAGGCGAAAACGGAGACATGGCGGAAGAGCTACACTGTAGCTTTATTCGTATCCTGTTGTTGCTCTCCGTTGGTAATCATTGTGACTTCCTATTGCTATATTTTCAAAATCAGTCGGTTTCAGGGCAGAAGGCGCAAGACAAGTTCTTCCAAGCGCTGTGGGCTGACTCCCGGTGGAGCGATCAAGGAACTTAACGTTGCTATCACAGTGGCGGTAATCACTGTCCTCTTTGTAACTGCTTGGTTTCCATTCTTCGTCGTTACCGTTATTGCTACGTTTTGCTTGAGGTGTTTACCGTCCCCGCCTGCTCTTCTGCATCTGGTCAAGTTCCTCAAGTTCTTACAATACAGCAGTAGTGCTATAAATCCCTATATATATGCTTACAGAAACACAGAAATGCGGAAGACACTGGCGAAAATTGCTAGAAAACTTTTCCCGTGCGATCTGGGGATCGGAACAAGAAATGTCATTGATAGAGGAGACTCTATTCAGCGCTATCGACAGTCAATAATACAAGCCGATAAAAAACCTGAATGTTATCAGACAATTTCGAGGAACAATCTCTCTTCAGCGGGAGAGGTTTTCGTGCAAGACACGAAAAGCAAACCCGCTAAAAAATCACAAAAGAAAAACAAAAAGAAAACAAAAGTGATTTATTTGTAGATACGGTTGTTTTCATTCCTACACAATGATGTTTTAACTTTGTTTTATTGAAATGTGACACCAAACAGTGATTTATTTTTTGATAGATATAATATATACAATTATAGATCCCGAAGTTTCAGTTCTCATTTTTGTAGTACTACGTAAATCGGAAACGTTTTGGCACAGCTTTCCCTAAATCGTTTAGCACTTCGGTGGAGCCACAAGTTTAAACAGTGTTGTCCAAAAACTAGCGATAAATTTTTTCTTGAAATGTCCTGAAAAATGCTTCATCAAACGATGAAATTCAGTCAAATCTTAGACAGAGAGAAGATTCTTGATTTCGTTATTCAAGCATGTATAAGAATGTTTCTCCCCCTGGAGGTCCAGCTAAAAGTGAAAACCTATAATTATTAGGATCAAAAATGGATTAGCCGCGAGCGACCTTTTTTGTACCTATTTTTTAACTCAGACACTCAAAAATGCAAATTATTTGTTCAAAAGTAGTTGTTATTCCAAAAATATATCTTCTGGAGTCTTCCAACTTTACATGAAAAGTTCTTGTCTCCTTAATATACTGCATCATTATTTAAATGTAACATCAATATCAACATCAATATTTTAAGTCTCTCCTTAAGATTAGATTACTACCAGATATTTTAAGAACCTTTAAGGCTTTAGAGATAAATTGTTTATATTTTGCAAATAGTCACGGTGATTGTGATAAACAATGAACGAAACTGTTAATGTGCAAATGACGTCTTGTTCATGTTTTTCAAGCGTAATTAGCATAACAAAAAAAATGTTTAATCGTCATCTTACCGGATAAATCAACACTTGTCGCATTCCTTCTTGATGCGGATTAAGGCCCCGTCCACACGTATCCGGATAAATTTGAAAACGGATAAATATTTATACGGTTACGGGTTCCGTCCACACGTAAACGGCGTTTTCACACACCGAAAACGGATAAATTTGAAAACGCTCTCCAGAGTGGATAAATTTGAAAACGCTGGCTAAGCGTCTCCGTGTGGACGCCTTATCCGGATAAATTTGAAAACGATTTGAAAACGATGACGTAACAATTCAAACCTAGTCCAACGCGTGCTCTCGGCCACAGGAGTAATTATTAAAAGAATGTTAGCTGAAAGTGCACTGTTTTCCTTGTAGTGATTTTGCGACTCGTTTGTAACCTAAGACCGAGTTCGACATCGATGCGCGTGCGTGGCGGCCATGCTGTCACGGATTTCTGGCCATGCGAACACTGTTGATAAGTTTGAGAAGCCCAAGAGCACAGCCAAGAGGATTCAGGCTCAGGATACGCGAGACTGTGGGCACATGTTTTGCTCTAAAGAGCATGCTAAGTAGGCGACGTCATCGTTTTCAAATCGTTTTTGCGTTTTCGTGTGGACACCAAAAACGATTCACAAACGGCAACGTGTGGACGCGGATAAATTTGAAAACGGATAAATATTTATCCGTTTTCAAATTTATCCGGATACGTGTGGACGGGGCCTAAGTTTCTCGAATTTTTTCCTTTTTTTTTCTTCAACCAACTATTTTAGATATTAGACTACGAGTAGTTTGGTTTAGTTGTTCTTATATTCAAATGAAATTGAATCAACAAAAAAATATTAAAATTGGCGCTAGTGTGTGCAAGAGACACTGGCTTGATTCTTTAACCGATTTCTTTTAACTGTCGCGACGAATTGAACTTAGAAAGAGTGGACGAGCAAAATGCGCTGATTCAAAAAATGTATCTATTGACTACGAGCAAGAAACACAGGGAAAATATAGCTATGAGGCCATCCTCACAGGCGCAGAGGAAGTGGGACAAGGTACAAACCTGAAGTCCATGAGGAGGTTAGTCCAACTCTCTTCTTTTTTTTTGTTTATTTGTTTTATTTTGTTTGTTTGTTTTTTTTGTTTCTTTTTTCGGGTTTCCTATGTTACGTCTTTTGCTTTTCGTTAGAGTGCTATACCTTATTTACAAGACCATAGATAAACTACACCCTGTTCAGCGGTATTACATCATAATATTCCCTGATGGTATTTATAACTAACAAAGTGAAACGACATCAACGGTGAAGTTGTCTTCGAGTTTTTCTGACCAAAATCGAGCGAAGCTTTCAAATTCTTCATTTGGCTCCTTCTCAAAGCAGTTAGGCCTTAAGTGAAACTTAACATTTTCATTATGTTCAAACGCTAAGGCAAAATACGTTATCATCATTCTGTTTGAAAAACGATACCAGTATTGCTCTTTTCCTGTTTTCTTTTTCATTCATTGAATTATAAGCTATTTCCTGTTTCTTGTAGGTCAGTTTACAGTGGTGTCGTATTTGTGGGAGTGGTTTGGTAAACATGAGGAAGGCACTCGAAATCTCGCGAGATCAGCGCACGTTGTTTGGGGTCTCGACCAAAGTATTTTTATAGGGAATGCAGTTTCAACTTTAAGCTTCTTTAAAAAAGTCTTTGTCCGCAAAGTAAATTTATCCTGAAGAGTTTGCTCAAGTTACTATTGGAGACGCAAACCGCTCCGCAAAATGAGGCTATGATTTCGGTCACAAAATTCGGAATTTTTAAAATTTTCGGAAATAAGAAGAGAATTATGAGGAGTTTTTCGGTGTGCGATTTTTATCAGTTTTCTGTTTAATTACCAATTATTTCCACAAAAAATCTGCTCCAGATCAATGACGAACAATTTCCTTTAAAAAGGCTGATTGTATACAGTCACCTTGTTTTTGTTTAGATAAAATTCATCGGCGCCACAAAGTCGCAAACTGTTTCTATTGCAGACCTCAGCTATTACAGGATTGCAGTCACTGCGTGTGATCGCCGCGGAGAGGTAAGGGGGGAGGGAGGGGGGAGGGGAGGAGGCACATGGACACCCCATTATTCAGCCTGGGGGAAGTCCTAAATTGCAATATTTAGCACCTTCGATAAGGTTTCTTTCCAGACCCGATGTTTTGCACGGGGTGTATATGTCGGCGGTAATACAAACATTTATTCCTTTCTATGGTTTCATGTACACCATAATCCGTCAAAGCAGAGGATCAACATGAAAAGAAAAGTTCTCACGTAAAGAAGTTATGGTTGTTGCTTCAAGACATTGACAGCACACCGTAACACAAACTTTCACCTCTCCCTCCCCTCCCCCCCCCACCCCCTTCTCCCAAAGGGCCTATTTTCAAACTCGAACTTTTGTTGTTAATTTTCTTTATGAATGAAACTTTAGACGTATAAATATCAAAGTTATGATCTTGTGAAGATATCGATCTATTTAACTTTACGCAAATGCATCGGGACAAAAACCAAATTAGTGCGGAATCACTCAACATTACTAAACACAAATGTTTGAGCAAGCATAACACTCAAACTTTGTACATAAAATTGGTTGAAACTTGAAGAAAAAATATATTTATAATAGCACTTAACATCCCAACATACAAATTCTAGGGCAGCTAAAGCACTGAATTTTTCCGTAAAATACTTTGACTTGTAAATTTATTTCACAGTTTATTAATGTGTTTACAGATAAAAACTCGAGTGTCTTCTACTGTGCAACTCATGCACTCTTCTTGATTATAGGAACAATTTTGCGCGCAAAAATTATCAAATTCAAGGGAGTGATATGTTCTCGTAACTCACTTTTAAATTAACACACTGGCCACCGGGTAAGTTGAAAATTGATAGTACTGTCAATTTTCAACTTACTCGGCTGCCGTTTTCATCATGTATGTTCTGACAATGCCACGAGACTGTCGCTAGAGACTGACGCTAAGCTTGGAAAGTCAAAAAAATGACTTCTCCCAATGTGCGTCGATTGTAAACTAAAAAAATGATCATAAATTTTACGAGTTTAAAAGTTCATAATTCACACATGAGGAAATGAGGTTATCAGTCGAAGACCAAAGTCACCCGACGAGTTCCGCTAAACTTTGTTTCCATTTTCATACAACACATGGGTCACGATTATATTTCACATGTGGTAAGATATGCAGAAAATTAAATTCTCCAGTATGCCATTATACGCATGAACATGACGGCTATCAAAAGCTGCACATTTTCCTTAGTGTTACCGGAGACAACTAAATGGGCTAAACAATGGGAGAATCACGTCAATTCACGTGATCCTAAAAGAGTCTTCCATTCATCTTCTTAACATATTAACTTGCTTCACTCACCTTTAGAAACGCAGCTTAGTGTTAAATTCAAATCTCAACCAAGACATTCGTCGATAGCTCTCGAGAGCTAGAACGAGACTCGTTCGGACAGGACTCAGCTCAGGTGTTGGTGATCTTCACGTCGGCGTCGTAGTGTATTGACTGACTGAGTAAAACCTAAATATGAAGCCAAAACAATTAGAGATTTTGAAATGAGATTAATCTGACTATCGCGTTATGTTACGTTCCTTTTGGAAAAATATACATAACAATGATAAAGATAGAGAGAGAGAAACAGATCAGAAAGATGAGTACTAGGGAAATGCAAACACAGAAACGAGGTAAAGAGAATCCTAAAATATTTTCTGCTTAGTTTTACACTAGTACCTCCCATTTGCCGAGGAGTGTATAACTTCAGAACGGCGACAAAAGGAACTTCCATTTTCCTGAAATATTTCTCGAGTTGTTCGACATGATTGAGTTCGAAGATAATACCAAATGAGCTACAAAGGCTCGTTTCATAAGTGAGGCAAGTTTGTTCCTGTCATTTTGAATTTTTTTAATTGGAGTTCATCTGTAAGGATCGGAAACGCTATTCATCGTCATGTAGAGGCAGAATTATGACTTGCTTTAACAATTTTTGATAAGATTCCTTCACAAGGAACAGAGGTCCCACGAAAAAAAAAAAAAAAAGGCGACATCGCATCGCAGCTAAAAATAACGCCCAACTAAATAATGATCTGGGAGGCAATTTACCTGTGAAGATCAGCAGGTCAAGTCATGAAAGTAAAAAATATGATTAACTGATTTAATTCGTAATGACTATGACCCTACCTGCTCGGAAGTGTGAAATACCTTATAGAAATTTTGAATACTTTAAAACGAAAATTATGGAGCCCGTGGAGTTTAGCACAGTAAGCATTTTCGTGATGTTTCCTAAATCACTGCCACTCTAGTCGAGAATGACCCGCACTGATCTTCTTGTTCAAAATCTACTAATCTGTTGATAGGAACAATATTTTCATTGACTATTGTCATGTCAACTCTATATTTAGCAGGAGCTACTTAAACAGGTCAAATCAAAGATGCCTCGCTTAAAAAAATGTAGAAAAAAATAAAAAACAAGCCATCTATGTGAAATGTATGGCTTCCGCATTGCCTTTCCTCACAAGAATGTGGGTCAGTCGGTCGGGTTAAAAAAAAAGTAGACGACAAAAGAGAAAAAGGCAAAGAAAAAACCCCGGAAGCCTGGACACTACTCAGCGTGTGTTTTTGCTCTCTCCCTACGTTTCTGACGCTGGAAATTTCTGAACAGCTTTAAAAATTGACAGAAACGAAATTGAGAAGGTAAATTTAGTCAGTATAATAATTCTGGTTGTCAGACAGTTTTCCTAGTATTCATCTGCCTTCCTTTCTTTCTTTTAGAAGTGGAATAACCTATCACATAATTGTCATAATTTAGACTGAAAAGATGCCGTCACGTACCAGCTTTGCTGAGAACTCGGGGCTTATTAACGGTCCAAAATTTGACCATATGTACGTGCATTTTGCTTTTTATCAGTGCCTGTGTAAATATTTTTCCAACGCAAGAATAAATCTACTTTTCTGGATAAAATTATAGACAGTGAAATCACTCAGGAAATACGAAGGGCGGGCATCCTGCAGGCATAAGCAATTAACCAACCTTAAGCCTTTTCATACATTATTTACAGGCAGCAGAAAGCAGTATATGTCAGTGTAACTACAACGTTAATAAAATTATTGTAGCCCCTTGACAGCATGACGAAGAACACTAAGTGAATTCCCAGATCTAAAGCTTTCACTGATTTCATTTGACCAGACACACATTGAAGCCCGTTTGAGTGCAATGGCTAATAATAGGGATCCTTAATAAGAATCTTTAACTCTCAAGATCATGATAAGCAGCAGAGTTTAGTTAAATGAAGGCAGCTTGCCCCAGTATTCACCCTCTTGACCGGCGGTAGCCAACTTTGGAATAATAGCACACAAAGGCAGAAAAAGGGGTTGTCAAAATATTTTGTGCAGAACCAAATTGTAGATCATTATATACTCTATCCAAAGTTGTTTTTTTTTTCAAACAAGAAATTTAGCATTTGGAAAGGAAAGGCACACAATATTATACCCAAAAGTTAGTTTTATGAAGTGTAGAAGTCTCATTCTTATTTGCGCACAGCTTAACTCAGAAACAGATAACATCCGTAGTAGAGCTCTCATTGATTTCATTTGACCAGATTCACATTGGAGCTTGTTTGAGTCAAATGGCTAATATTCGACATGCTTAGAATCTTTTAATCTTATGATTACATGTAGCAGGGTCCAAGTCAACTTTAAAAATCAACATTTAGACGGTAGTCAACACAGAGACAGAGGAGGGCCGCTGTATATAAATGTTTTACAGAATTGAATTATAGAATTTATACTCTCCCTGAAATAACTCTTTAAATTAATTTTTTACCTTCTGACGGTGATAATTGAGAAAATAAACCAGGTGATCCAGATTAAGTTTTTATACAAAAAAAAATTTTGCATTTGAAAAGGAAAAGACACAATTATCCCTATAAGTATGATCCATGAAGCATTGAAGTATTTTCTTCATTTGTTTATGATTGTAAATCAGAATTAAATCACATCAGCAGTACAAGTTCTTTCCTGTTCATTGTCTCAGAAAACTGTAATTTAACGTCGCTTATTACGCTGATAAACTTCCTTCGGTCTTTTAAGCGAATCGCTATTTATAGACTTCGAGGGAGACATCAAAATAACTGATAATCGTTATAGTTTCCCTTTCATGAAACAGGAAACTTAAACGTTATATTTGCAGCTTACCAAGTAAAGCTCTTGAAAAATATATATACAATAAGTTATTTTCAAAGGCAAAACGAGGCCTACTTACAAAACACCGTTTGCTTCAAGAAAGTCGCCAGCCGCTTCTTTTGTCCGCTTATATCACGGGATCGGTCCTAAGTAAACGGGTCGATTGTTGGCCTTTGTGATTCGAGGTCAGGAGACGCAAGAACACCAGTGACACGTTTCTACTGGGTCACTTTGAATACCTACTATTGTCTTTACTTGAGAGAAACCTCGCACGTATTTGATAGAACATTTCTAAAGTTTCTCTTACAGTAAGAAAAATAGGTTGAAACCTTGATAGGACCCTGACAACTTTGTTCCTCTCTATTGCTGCACTTTTGTCACTTGGCAGGTGTTGCTGTATTTTAGGGGAAGAGAGAGGGGAAGTAAGGAATCGAATATAGTTTTCTTTAAAATTTAGGGAAGAGTATCCAACGTTCAGAGCCAGTCCAGCTCTCACTCAAGTTATGCCTATCCCTCGTCTTCGGGTCTGTGGTTTGAGTCTTGGTGAGAGCTCTAAAAAAAATTTCGGCTATTTATTTCATTTCAGACAGCAACTTAATCTGATCAGGTCATTTGACAAGTTTCTATTCTATTGACAGTCGAGCCGATATCATGGGCACCCTCGCTAACACCACTGAACCGCGCGTTTACTTGAAAATTGATTTCCCGTTCAAGTTCTTCAATTTTTTTGCCCTTCAGAAACTCGAGCTTCCTGCTGACTCGAATTTATTTCATTTCAGACAGCAACTTAATCTGATCAGGTCATTTGACAAGTTTCTATTCTATTGACAGTCGACCCGATATCATGGGCACCCTCGACTATATTCGTGACTATATTCGTGCTATCGGGAGTCAACTCGAAGCGATTTCCGCTTCAGTTCCTTGGGGTGATTTTCTACTCAGTTTTATGTTCAAAATAAACTGTACTGTAGTCCAAAACAGTGACTTTATAAAAAAGTCACGGATTTGACTACCACTTTAGTTCAGGTTTCGCTGGTTTACTGAAGATACGCTTAACTTCAGTTCATTTTATTTCCATGAAATCGGCTTCAGTGCCTCATTCCCTAGTCAAAACGTTCCTTATTCACCCAACTTCTGCATACTGAAATAAAATGTGATCAAAATGAACCGAGCACAGAAAAGAATACTACACGCGCTGCCGTTACTGGCCGCCATTTACTGTCAACCTTCAATACCTCGAGCCTTTTTCAATTTCCCTCGAAGGTTCGTGCTATCGGGAGTCAACTCAGTCTATTGCCATTGTCAATCAAGATTAAGAGCAAAACTGTTGATTCAGATTTTGGGAAAACTCCAATTTCAAACTGCGCTACCTGCAACACGGACCGGCAAAAAATTCTCTCGGTGCTTCAAACAAATCGATATTTCTAAACTTCAAGGTGGGACGTCATGAAAATATTTAACAAATTTAAATTTAAAACAAGAAGATTCTCATTTACCTTGCTCTGATGCAGTTTTCGTTCCTATAACCACAAAATCTTCGCGTGAAGCAATTTCAATGATTTACTTAACGTGACCTTTTTACAAAAGTGTTTATCGGGTTCACGTGTTTTGACTATGAAAGTAAACACGTGAGTCCACTCCAGAGAGTGATTTCGTTTTAAAAAATGTTATTTCTGATTTAAGAACCATTATTTTTTTGTTTGCGTTGCCAAATAGTTATAATCGCATCTGTGCAAAGATCAAGAGAGTGTTGCGACACATAACCAGGAGTGACCAACGAAGAATATATCTGATTCCTTCACAGGGATTCGACTCGTTGATTTTCCTTCCATCGGAAATGAAAATCGAGCTTGGGTTGGGCTGAGCACATGTGCACCAGGTGACAAGTGTAGTGCTAATGCGCTTTTTCCGGTACGCCCCTCAAAACAATTATTGAACACCGAAGCTAAAATGATTGGAATGCAGGTCTGACGCCGTTCCGAAGCTTACAAAACTGGTACGGCGCATCAATGGCAAGGTGTTTGGAGCTAAAACAAACCTCAGTTAGCTAGTGTCTGCCGCATTTACTTACGTAACATGAGAATGGCGCCTGGTTCAAGCAGGGGTCTCGGTCACGTGCTGAGCCTGATGTTCTATCCCGCCATCTTCAAATAATTTTGTCGCAAAACTTTATCATCAGTATCCAGACCCCTTTCGCTAAATTCAATCAGGCTGACTGGTGTTGAATTATGGGAAACAAATGCTATTATTGGCCAATATT